TTTCTTTTTTTCTTTTTTTCTTTTCTTTTTCTTTTTTCTTTTTTTTTCTTTTCTCTTTCTGCCCCGCTTTTATTTCTTTTTCTCAAAGAGGATCTGAGGATCTCCCCCTTCTTCTCTAGCCCAGCCCCCCCCCAAGCTAGAAACATTTACACTTCAAAAGAGACGGCCGCCTCTCTGCGGAAATTTCAAGAAAAATAAACTTTTTGGGGAAGTTGCAGTGATAGCCATCTTTCGATCTGCTTCATTAGTCGGCTTTCTCCAGCTGGTCAAGTCGAAATCTTGTCCATTGATCCTGTTTCTCAGCCTCGGCCCCAATACACATAACCGGGAGGGCCCTGTCAGCTCCCCTCCGAAGTCCTCTGAGTTTTCCGTGCTGCTTTGGCTTCGTCAACTTGCCGCCTCACCTTGTCCCTGGGAACGGGGTTATACAGACGCCGCTCTCGGGAACTGCCTCCCCTGTTCTGCTGCCCGCCTGGGAAGGGCGCTGCGCCCAGGAACAATAGGGTCGAGTGGCGGGGGGAGCCCCTCGGAGGGGTCAGGCCTGGAGCAAACGGTTGTGCCTGCGATCGCCGTTGGCTCCAGACCCAGGACTTGCACCTACGTTGATTCCCAGTTTTCTACGGGTCTGTAGCCAATTACATTGGAAACCAGTTAAACGCGACCTATGGCCATAGGACGGGTGCTGCAGGAGCAGAAGTTTTGCATTTGTACAACATGAACATGCCGCTAAGTCCTTGGCTCCGCACCCTGCCTGTCTTCTTCCCCTTGCCAAGTGCTCGAACGCTTACAACCTAAATGTTGGTAGTTTGGAGGTCGTTTAGCTCAGCCCTTAATGTTCCCCCTACTATATTTACGAAATCACGGGATAAATCTATGCTGATCTTCTGTATGTGTTTTTCTGACACATATAGTTCTACATCAACTAATTTAATCTCTTGTGAGAAAGTCGGTGGCGAAATCCCTGGTTGTGAAAAGATAAATAGGAAAAAATATTATAAAAAAACCCCACAGAGATGTGAGCATTTAAGGAAAGGAATCGATGTGGTGTGTCAGAGGATCTTCAAGGAAGGGGGTGCTTTGATAAAACATTCTCGGACGACTTTTGGGGTGCTTTGTTTGAAGACAGGATGATTTCTGGCCTAAGATTTCCCGCTGCCTCTCACCAACGAGCACCCAGGGGAAAGGGGTGCCCACACCTTGGCTGTAGTGGTGCCGTGATCTGATTTTCCCAGTGGGGAGAGGGCGATGGGGCAGGGCAGAGGTGCCAGGCAGCAGCGTGGAGATATGGAAACAGGATCGAAGCTGTCTGGGAGGATTTCCTCGTGTCGCTTAGGGCCGCGCAGGGCCGGGCAGGGCGAGGAGAGGCAGACGGGGTCCTGCCGCCTCTCCCCGCCCCCCCAGTCGCTCTGCCCAGGAGACCCGAGATTGCTCTTGGTGGCCGAGTTTAACACATAAACATAAAGTTAGATTTTAAACGAACAATTAATAAGAAAGAGAGCTCGAAAAGAATAAAAGGCCCCCGTCCTTCCCCTCCTCCTGTGTCTCCGAGCCCCTCTTCCCCTCTCCCTCTCTCTCCCCCTCTAAGCACCTCTGGTCACGTTGGAGGATGAGTTTTTGGAGAGCTTCTGGTACAATATGGAGCACCACGGGCTGCAATTTCACACTCCACAGCACATTCCCCCTAAAGCTACTTTCTTTTTTTCCCGTCTAAGACCCCCTCATGTCTCCCCCTCTCTCTTTCTCTCGCTCTTTTGTG